TTGATTTTATAAAGGTCCCCGAAGGCAGCGTCTGATTTATAAACGAGTCCCCGAAGGCAGCGTCTGATTTATAAACGAGTCCCCGAAGGCAGCGTCTGATTTATAAACGAGTCCCCGAAGGCAGCGTCTGATTTATAAACGAGTCCCCGAAGGCAGCGTCTGATTTATAAACGAGTCCCCGAAGGCAGCGTCTGATTTATAAACGAGTCCCCGAAGGCAGCGTCTGATTTATAGACGAGTCCCCGAAGGCAGCGTCTGATTTATAAACGAGTCCCCGAAGGCAGCGTCTGATTTATAAACGAGTCCCCGAAGGCAGCGTCTGATTTATTAACGAGTCCCCGAAGGCAGCGTCTGATTTATAAACGAGTCCCCGAAGGCAGCGTCTGATTTATAAACGAGTCCCCGAAGGCAGCGTCTGATTTATAAACGAGTCCCCGAAGGCAGCGTCTGATTTATAAACGAGTCCCCGAAGGCAGCGTCTGATTTATAAACGAGTCCCCGAAGGCAGCGTCTGATTTATAAACGAGTCCCCGAAGGCAGCGTCTGATTTATAAACGAGTCCCCGAAGGCAGCGTCTGATTTATAAACGAGTCCCCGAAGGCAGCGTCTGATTTATAAACGAGTCCCCGAAGGCAGCGTCTGATTTATAAACGAGTCCCCGAAGGCAGCGTCTGATTTATAAACGAGTCCCCGAAGGCAGCGTCTGATTTATAAACGAGTCCCCGAAGGCAGCGTCTGATTTATAAACGAGTCCCCGAAGGCAGCGTCTGATTTATAAACGAGTCCCCGAAGGCAGCGTCTGATTTATTAACGAGTCCCCGAAGGCAGCGTCTGATTTATTAACGAGTCCCCGAAGGCAGCGTCTGATTTATTAACGAGTCCCCGAAGGCAGCGTCTGATTTATTAACGAGTCCCCGAAGGCAGCGTCTGATTTATAAACGAGTCCCCGAAGGCAGCGTCTGATTTATTAACGAGTCCCCGAAGGCAGCGTCTGATTTATAAACGAGTCCCCGAAGGCAGCGTCTGATTTATAAACGAGTCCCCGAAGGCAGCGTCTGATTTATAAACGAGTCCCCGAAGGCAGCGTCTGATTTATAAACGAGTCCCCGAAGGCAGCGTCTGATTTATAAACGAGTCCCCGAAGGCAGCGTCTGATTTATTAACGAGTCCCCGAAGGCAGCGTCTGATTTATAAACGAGTCCCCGAAGGCAGCGTCTGATTTATAAACGAGTCCCCGAAGGCAGCGTCTGATTTATAAACGAGTCCCCGAAGGCAGCGTCTGATTTATAAACGAGTCCCCGAAGGCAGCGTCTGATTTATAAACGAGTCCCCGAAGGCAGCGTCTGATTTATAAACGAGTCCCCGAAGGCAGCGTCTGATTTATTAACGAGTCCCCGAAGGCAGCGTCTGATTTATTAACGAGTCCCCGAAGGCAGCGTCTGATTTATTAACGAGTCCCCGAAGGCAGCGTCTGATTTATTAACGAGTCCCCGAAGGCAGCGTCTGATTTATTAACGAGTCCCCGAAGGCAGCGTCTGATTTATTAACGAGTCCCCGAAGGCAGCGTCTGATTTATAAACGAGTCCCCGAAGGCAGCGTCTGATTTATAAACGAGTCCCCGAAGGCAGCGTCTGATTTATAAACGAGTCCCCGAAGGCAGCGTCTGATTTATTAACGAGTCCCCGAAGGCAGCGTCTGATTTATTAACGAGTCCCCGAAGGCAGCGTCTGATTTATTAACGAGTCCCCGAAGGCAGCGTCTGATTTATAAACGAGTCCCCGAAGGCAGCGTCTGATTTATAAACGAGTCCCCGAAGGCAGCGTCTGATTTATAAACGAGTCCCCGAAGGCAGCGTCTGATTTATAAACGAGTCCCCGAAGGCAGCGTCTGATTTATAAACGAGTCCCCGAAGGCAGCGTCTGATTTATAAACGAGTCCCCGAAGGCAGCGTCTGATTTATAAACGAGTCCCCGAAGGCAGCGTCTGATTTATAAACGAGTCCCCGAAGGCAGCGTCTGATTTATTAACGAGTCCCCGAAGGCAGCGTCTGATTTATAAACGAGTCCCCGAAGGCAGCGTCTGATTTATAAACGAGTCCCCGAAGGCAGCGTCTGATTTATAAACGAGTCCCCGAAGGCAGCGTCTGATTTATAAACGAGTCCCCGAAGGCAGCGTCTGATTTATTAACGAGTCCCCGAAGGCAGCGTCTGATTTATTAACGAGTCCCCGAAGGCAGCGTCTGATTTATTAACGAGTCCCCGAAGGCAGCGTCTGATTTATAAGAGTCTCCGAAGGCAGCGTCTGATTTATTAACGAGTCCCCGAAGGCAGCGTCTGATTTATTAACGAGTCCCCGAAGGCAGCGTCTGATTTATTAACGAGTCCCCGAAGGCAGCGTCTGATTTATAAACGAGTCCCCGAAGGCAGCGTCTGATTTATTAACGAGTCCCCGAAGGCAGCGTCTGATTTATAAACGAGTCCCCGAAGGCAGCGTCTGATTTATAAACGAGTCCCCGAAGGCAGCGTCTGATTTATAAACGAGTCCCCGAAGGCAGCGTCTGATTTATAAACGAGTCCCCGAAGGCAGCGTCTGATTTATCGACGAGTCCCCGAAGGCAGCGTCTGATTTATAAACGAGTCCCCGAAGGCAGCGTCTGATTTATAAACGAGTCCCCGAAGGCAGCGTCTGATTTATTAACGAGTCCCCGAAGGCAGCGTCTGATTTATCAACGAGTCCCCGAAGGCAGCGTCTGATTTATCAACGAGTCCCCGAAGGCAGCGTCTGATTTATCGACGAGTCCCCGAAGGCAGCGTCTGATTTATAAACGAGTCCCCGAAGGCAGCGTCTGATTTATAAACGAGTCCCCGAAGGCAGCGTCTGATTTATTAACGAGTCCCCGAAGGCAGCGTCTGATTTATCAACGAGTCCCCGAAGGCAGCGTCTGATTTATCAACGAGTCCCCGAAGGCAGCGTCTGATTTATAAACGAGTCCCCGAAGGCAGCGTCTGATTTATAAACGAGTCCCCGAAGGCAGCGTCTGATTTATAAACGAGTCCCCGAAGGCAGCGTCTGATTTATAAACGAGTCCCCGAAGGCAGCGTCTGATTTATAAACGAGTCCCCGAAGGCAGCGTCTGATTTATAAACGAGTCCCCGAAGGCAGCGTCTGATTTATAAACGAGTCCCCGAAGGCAGCGTCTGATTTATAAACGAGTCCCCGAAGGCAGCGTCTGATTTATAAACGAGTCCCCGAAGGCAGCGTCTGATTTATTAACGAGTCCCCGAAGGCAGCGTCTGATTCATAAGAGTCTCCGAAGGCAGCGTCTGATTTATTAACGAGTCCCCGAAGGCAGCGTCTGATTTATTAACGAGTCTCCGAAGGCAGCGTCTGATTTATTAACGAGTCCCCGAAGGCAGCGTCTGATTTATTAACGAGTCCCCGAAGGCAGCGTCTGATTTATTAACGAGTCCCCGAAGGCAGCGTCTGATTTATTAACGAGTCCCCGAAGGCAGCGTCTGATTTATTAACGAGTCCCCGAAGGCAGCGTCTGATTTATAAACGAGTCCCCGAAGGCAGCGTCTGATTTATAAACGAGTCCCCGAAGGCAGCGTCTGATTTATAAACGAGTCCCCGAAGGCAGCGTCTGATTTATAAACGAGTCCCCGAAGGCAGCGTCTGATTTATAAACGAGTCCCCGAAGGCAGCGTCTGATTTATAAACGAGTCCCCGAAGGCAGCGTCTGATTTATAAACGAGTCCCCGAAGGCAGCGTCTGATTTATAAACGAGTCCCCGAAGGCAGCGTCTGATTTATAAGAGTCCCCGAAGGCAGCGTCTGATTTATTAACGAGTCCCCGAAGGCAGCGTCTGATTTATTAACGAGTCCCCGAAGGCAGCGTCTGATTTATTAACGAGTCCCCGAAGGCAGCGTCTGATTTATTAACGAGTCCCCGAAGGCAGCGTCTGATTTATTAACGAGTCCCCGAAGGCAGCGTCTGATTTATTAACGAGTCCCCGAAGGCAGCGTCTGATTTATTAACGAGTCCCCGAAGGCAGCGTCTGATTTATAAACGAGTCCCCGAAGGCAGCGTCTGATTTATAAACGAGTCCCCGAAGGCAGCGTCTGATTTATAAACGAGTCCCCGAAGGCAGCGTCTGATTTATAAACGAGTCCCCGAAGGCAGCGTCTGATTTATAAACGAGTCCCCGAAGGCAGCGTCTGATTTATAAACGAGTCCCCGAAGGCAGCGTCTGATTTATAAACGAGTCCCCGAAGGCAGCGTCTGATTTATAAACGAGTCCCCGAAGGCAGCGTCTGATTTATAAACGAGTCCCCGAAGGCAGCGTCTGATTTATAAACGAGTCCCCGAAGGCAGCGTTTGAACCCAGCCTGGTTCCCTGTCAGAGAGCCACCATGGCTAATATGAGGGACCCATTCTGAAGCGGTTCTGGGGTCCTACAGCGGTTCTCCAAGCTGATTGGATAAGCTGTGGTCATGGGGTCAGCTCACCTGCGTCCATGGGGATGGAGGCTCGGCTCCTCTGTGCCGCCGCTGCCTCAGGGTCCTCCTCCTCGTCGCTGTGTGGAGGCGGAGCTTCAGGGAGGTGCAGACCCATCACCTGCAGGGACACCCAGGTGGTGAGAAGCACAGAACCCGGTTAGAACCGGTTGGAGACGTTTGGTCACCTGTTGCCAGGCAGATCTCACCTCTATCCTGCGCTCCACCTGCTGCAGCTGCTCTGAGTGAGACATGTCCCCCCTGTCCTCGTCCTCTGGCTGCTCGCTGCTGTTTAGCCCCTCTGGGTCCTGGTTCAGAGGCTGATAATAATACCCCCCATTGCCCCCCTCTTCCTCCTCCTCCTCTTCCTCTCCATCTAGCTCCATGTCTCCCATATCCTCCCCCCCGACCCACACCGCCCCGGCAGGAAGGCCAGCTCCGTCTGCTGGACGCTCGTCCTCCCCCAGCTCATCCTCAGAGCTCGGCAAGATCCTCTCTGGTCCCATGGCTGAGCGACACACTTCCATCCACGACACGCAGCAGGAGGGACGGACAGGAGACAACCTGAGGGACAGAGAGGAGACAACCTGAGGGACAGACAGGAGACAGAAACGAGACAACCTGAGGGATGGACAGGAGACAGAAATGAGACAATCTGAGGGACAGAGAGGAGACAACGTGAGGGACAGAAAGGAAACAACCTGAGGGACAGACAGGAGACAGAAACAAGACAACCTGAGGGATGGACAGGAGACAGAGAGGAGACAACCAGAGGGACAGACAGGAGACAGAAATGAGACAATCCGAGGGACAGAGAGGAGACAACCTGAGGGACAGAGAGGAGACAGAGAGGACACAACCTGAGGGACAAAGAGGAGACAACCTGAGGGACAGACAGGAGACAGAGAGGAGACAACCAGAGGGACAGACAGGAGACAACCTGAGGGACAGACAGGAGACAGAAATGAGACAATCTGAGGGATAGAGAGGAGACAACCAGAGGGACAGACAGGAGACAGAAATGAGACAATCTGAGGGATAGACAGGAGACAACCTGAGGGACGGACAGGAGACAACCTGAGGGACAGACAGGAGACAGAGAGGAGACAACCAGAGGGACAGACAGGAGACAGAGAGGAGACAACCTGAGGGACAGACAGGAGAAAACCAGAGGGACGGAGAGCAGACAACCTGAGGGATGGACAGAAGACAACTTAAGGGACCAAAAGGAGAAAATGTCCGCCAGTCTGTCCTTTGGGTGAAACAGAGAGAATCTGTCCAACATAGGACAGACCTTTTGGAGAAGCTGCGTTTTTCCCACAGATTTCAGGTCAGATTAGGATGAAGCTAACGGAGCTAACTGGCTGCTAGCAGCTCGCTGGTAATGCTTCCGCTAGTTTAGAATTAAGTTAAGCTAACTGATTGGTTAGCTAATAGTTAGTAGCTGGTTAGTAGGTTTTATTTTCATGTTAGTAGCACTAACCTCCAGCGCTCAGCTCAGTCTGTCGCAGCTGATGTTAGCTCCTGCTGCTAACTCAGTTGATGTCCTAACACTTCCGAATACGTCACCACGCAGGGTGGACTCTTGTGTCGGCCTATGGCAGCTTGCTACAATGAACAGCACCGCGCCCCCTGCTGTAGAGTCTAGAATCATGTTTCTATTGTAGTTTTATCCAGATTAGCATCATGCTAACATGAACTCTGGGTAAATAAATTGGTTTATTAAAAGTTTTATGTTCTAATGTTCTGGTCACCCAAAATCAGAGCGAACCTTTTGGTACCAGATCAGTTCAGAGCGGTTGCTATGACTACTAAACACACAGGAAGCTACGTCACAATAAAGCAGCTCAGTCGCAGAGGGCTTACTCTGATTAATATTTAAATGTCTGAATTCTGATACATTAGTGATAAATCTAATGGTCCACTTTATAACATAGAGATCAGAATGAAAAATATGAATCCTCTTATTTTCTACCATAAAAGCAGATATTGAGAATGAGAATCAATCCAACGTAGACCTTTAATCAACAGTTATAAAATGATGGGATGGACATTAACACGACTTTAAATCGGGATTCTCTCTCAGTCTGGCCTGGTTTCTGCTCAGAGTGAGCCCTCCTGTCTGCGCACCTGTCTCTGCAGCTCATAGTAACGCTGCTCACCTGCAGAAACTCACCGAGACTCACGGAGCCGCTCTGACCGACAGCCGGAGCCGCAGCCCGTCCACCGGAGCCGTTGCCTCCCCCTGAAAGCGGACCGGTTCTGCTGCTCGCCGTCCTGTTGGACCGTAACCTGCGCGCGGCCTGCGGCGAATGATGACATCAGCGCGTGACAGTCTCCGCTCTCTGCGCGTGAGCTGATCGATCGCATCTGAAGGTAATTGATTCGGTGACTGTGAGGCCAATCAGAGTGATTGATCAGCTACAGATGATCAATCCATGCTGATCTCTGATTGGCTCTCTGCTTGCAAATCCTCTGCATCTCCTCTGACGTCATTGATTATTGATCCTCAACATCAGATTGATTGGCGTTCCAATCTGATCCATATAGATAATAAACATAGATAGATAATCAAATCTTTAAAGAGAATCAATTCCAGACTGGATCAGAACCAGAACCTGTGAACTATTGGAGCTGGATTTGGTTCTCAGAAGTTGAAGCATCTGAACCAAGTCTAGGTTTTTGATGCTGATGTTTGTTCAGGGATGTATGTAAGAGTATGGAACCTGGCCAGTGATGTTGGTCCATGTCTCTGTCTCCCAGTGGTCCCAGTGGAGTCCAGATGCTGCCAGCCTCCATCCAGATCACCGGGGAGCTGCTGTCCGCCGCTGAGGTCCAGGACATCTGTGAGAGCCTGAAGGAGGACGGCGTCCGGCTGCTGTCCGTCCGCGGCTGCCAGCTCTCAGACCGGGACTTTGGCCGCGTCTGCGCCAGCGTCGCAGAGTCGCGCTCCCTCGCTCAACTCAACCTCAACCTGGGCGTGGTGTCCAGCATCAGCCGGACGCGCCACCTAGCGGACGCCCTGAAGACCAACCGCTCCCTGCAGACCCTGTTGTGAGTACAGGTACCTGATTGGCTGGTGGAAATGTTCAGGAAGGGTTTGTGACATGTAGTCTCCGCCCAACTCCAGCCTCCATGGGAGTCCGCTGCTGGATGCTGGCCTGGTGGCTCTGAACCCGGCGCTGTCCACCCACCCGACCCTGGTCTGCCTGGACCTGGGAGACTGCATGCTGGGGGAGGAGGCCCTGGCTCTGATCTGTGGAATGCTGCCACCAGATGGAGCCAAGTCAGGTAGGGAAGGGCAAACGCTTGGATTCTCCTGTGGTCGGTGAACGCAGCATCAGGTTCACATTCAACTCATCACAGCCTCGGGTATCTTCCAGGTAATCCTGGTCACCTGATCAGCTTCTGGACTGCACAGGAGGATTAATTATGAATGAGATGAGAGGAGGTTTCTATTTCCCTCTGTGTTCTCACTCTGTTTATTCCGGTAAAAGACCGGTTACAGAATAGTTATAGACCAGGAACTGTTGAGTTTCAGATCAGTTACAGACCACTTACAGACCAGTTACAGGTCAGTTACAGACCAGTAACTGGATGAGTTTTAGGTCAGTAACTGGTGAGTTTCAGGTCAGTTACAGACCAGTTACAGGCCAGTTAAAGACCAGTAACTGGTGAGTTTCAGACCAGTTACAGGTCAGTTACAGGCCAGTAACTGGCGAGTTTCAGGCCAGTAAAAGGCCAGTTACAGACCAGTTACAGGCCAGTTACAGGCCAAATGCAAACCAGTAACTGGTGAGTTTCAGGTCAGTTACAGACCAGTTACAGGCCAGTTAAAGACCAGTAACTGGTGAGTTTCAGGTCAGTAACTGGTGAGTTTCAGGTCAGTTACAGACCAGTAACTGGTGAGTTTCAGACCAGTTACAGGTCAGTTACAGGCCAGTAACTGGCGAGTTTCAGGCCAGTAAAAGGCCAGTTACAGGCCAACTGCAAACCAGTAACTGGTGAGTTTCAGGTCAGTTACAGACCAGTTACAGGCCAGTAACTGGCGAGTTACAGACCAGTTACAGGCCAGTTATAGGCCAAATGCAAACCAGTAACTGGTAGTTTCCGGCCAGTTACAGACCAGTAACAGGTGAAATTATGCAAGTTACAGGTCGGTTACAAACCAGTAACTGGTGAGTTTCAGCTCAGTAGCTGGTGAGTTTCAGGCCAGTTACAGGCCAGATACAGACCAGTTACAGGCCAATTAAAGACCATAAACTGGCGAGTTACAGACCAGTTACAGGCCAGTTACAGACCAGTAACTGGATGAGTTTTAGGTCAGTAACTGGTGAGTTTCAGGTCAGTTACAGACTAGTTACAGGCCAGTTAAAGACCAGTAACTGGTGAGTTTCAGGTCAGTAACTGGTGAGTTTCAGACCAGTTACAGGTCAGTTACAGGCCAGTAACTGGCGAGTTTCAGGCCAGTAAAAGGCCAGTTACAGACCAGTTACAGGCCAGTTACAGTCCAACTGCAAACCAGTAACTGGTGAGTTTCAGGTCAGTTACAGACCAGTTACAGGCCAGTTAAAGACCAGTAACTGGTGAGTTTCAGGTCAGTTACAGACCAGTTACAGGCCAGTTAAAGACCAGTAACTGGTGAGTTTCAGACCAGTTACAGGTCAGTTACAGGCCAGTAACTGGCGAGTTTCAGGCCAGTAAAAGGCCAGTTACAGGCCAACTGCAAACCAGTAACTGGTGAGTTTCAGGTCAGTTACAGACCAGTTACAGGCCAGTTACAGGCCAGTAACTGGCGAGTTTCAGGCCAGTAAAAGGCCAGTTACAGACCAGTTACAGGCCAGTTATAGGCCAATTGCAAACCAGTAACTGGTAGTTTCCGGCCAGTTACAGACCAGTAACAGGTGAAATTATGCAAGTTACAGGTCGGTTACAAACCAGTAACTGGTGAGTTTCAGCTCAGTAGCTGGTGAGTTTCAGGCCAGTTACAGGCCAGATACAGACCAGTTACAGGCCAATTAAAGACCATAAACTGGCGAGTTACAGACCAGTTACAGGCCAGTTACAGGCCAGTAATTGGTGAGTTTTCATCCCAATTACAGACCAGAAACTGGTGAGTTTCATGCCAGTTACAGGCCAACTACAGACCAGTAACTGGTGAGTAATAGGCAGTTACAGACCAGTAACTGGTGAGGTTTCACCCCAGTTACAGGCCAGTTACAGACCAGTAACTGGTGAATTACAGGCCAGTTACAGACCAGTAACTGGTAAGTTTCAGGCCGGTAACAGGTCTGTCACAGACCAGTTACAGACCAGCTACCGTTGAGTTTCAGGCCAGTTACAGACCAGTTACAGGCCAGTAAGTGGTGAGTTTCAGGCCAGTAACAGACCATTTACAGGCCATTTTTCCACTGATGAAGACCTTTCACCAGCAACTCAGTGGCCCTCGTTTCGGTCATCATTGTTTCCTTGTCCATCTGTGGTCCATCAGGTCTGAGGGAGCTCACTCTGAGCGCTAATCCCCGTATCGGCTCCAAAGGCTGGGCCCGTTTCGCCATCGCTGTGGCCCACAGCTCCCAGCTGCGTGTGCTGAACCTGGACTACAACCCACTGGGTAAACCGATACCAGAACCAACGGAACAACCTGTTCACCTATTGGGGTCTGATGATGTGCTTTTGTCTCCAGGAGATCAAATTGCCGCCATGCTGGCGGTCACTGTGGCATCAAGCAGAACCCTGGAGGTCCTGGACCTGGAAGGAACTGGACTGACCAACCAGTCAGCACAGGTCCCATGGTTACAGCGCCTCTTTGTGCTTTTCATCACCGCCATGCTCTGTATTTGTGTTGATAGCCAGGTTTCTGTGTGTCTAGGTGTTTCTGGACATGGTGGAGAACTACCCGACCAGCCTCAGGGTTCTGGTTCTGGCAGAGAATGACATCAGTCCTGAGCTGCAGCAGCAGATCAGCGACCTCCTGTCGGAAGGGGAGGAGGAAGACAACAGGGAGGCCCCGCCTTCACTCCGAGGCCACGCCTCCAGCACAGAAAAGCACCAGCCCCTCCCCTGGCTCCCCCACAGCAGTAAGGGCTGAACACTGTCCCGCCCCTCCCCTCCCCAGTCACCCGCAACAGCAAGACCCCTTCAGACTGAAACCAGATCCAGTCCAACAGACTTCTACCTTTTTAGGGTCTTGGTTCTGTTGGGCTTAGAACCGATCAGACATGATCTGGTTCTGTTTGCTGTGTGGTGTTTACTTGTCCTCTGTATCAGTAGGAGCTTTGTGTTTTCTGTAATGAGTGTGAAAATGGTGTTAATCTGCTCCCAGTTCTGGCAGAATAATGCTGTTGATAGTAATTTATATTCAGTTTTTATTTATTTCTATCCTTTCATCCTTTGTGTGGTTCTAAAGTTCTGACTGGAATCTGGTTCCTGCTGGTCTTCAGTAGATGATCAGGAACCAGAGATGTTAGGGACTCTTTGAATCACTAACAACTTAAAACTGGTATTTATATTGTTATTTAGATTATGAGTTTAGATCAACAGAAGAAGCTCCTTTATTTAGCTTAGCGAGGCTAATTTTCATTAGCATGGTGATTTCTTCTATTCTTGGCTAAATGTTAATGTAGGCGAATGTGCTAATATGTAGAGGATAAAATGAGCTATCAGCTCATTAGAACAATTTAATACTGACGTAATTTAAACATATTTACATATCAATAACAGGAGGAAACGTTAGTTGAGGCTAACTGAACGGCTAGTCTAATGTTCTTGAGTCCAGCGACATTTTTAAACATGTTTCTTTTCTTACGTTTATTGTAAAGGAGGTTTACTTTGGTTTCACTGCTGAAGGATTTTCTCCCAGAATGTTCTTGAATGTTTTACACCTCAGTTTCAGTCCAATCAGCGATACGTCCAATCTGCTCGAGGCCCCGCCCCTTCCTCCTACGTCACCATATGGCAACTCCATTCAGACAAACTGTATTGCACCTGTTTCTTAAGGATCAAATCTCCTTTGGAGTCTCAACATATTTCCTATATTTGCTTTTATGTTGAATTTAATCGGCGATCTAAAGTAGCTGAAAATAGAAAACAATCATTGTCAGTCTGGAAGGAAAGTCCTGTCTTCTAAGACAGACTTTGCTCTGCCATTTAACAAGGAGACACTATGGCGTACTTTGGTGACACAGTGGTTAGAGCTAACAATCCATGTATGGAGGCCTTAGTCCTCGACGCGGGCGAGCCGGGTTTGAAACCAGTCTCTCTCCCTTTCCTGTCAGCCTACTGTCTGTAAATACGAGCCACTAGTGCCGTAAAAACTGAAAAAAAAAACAACAAAATGAGACACTAAAACTCTCAGCTAATTTTTATTCTTTTTATTAACATCTAAGGTCAGAGGCGGACAAATTAAACATCTTAAAAAATGACTTTCAAAGAGATTTTAGACGAAGAAAACAGTTATTCTACTTTTAGAAAACGAACAGTTGTTGATATGAAGTTAAAAGTAGTTTAGCTTAATATGGCTAACTGACTGAGCTAAACGAGGCTAACCTGTTAGCTACCTAGCACAGCTAGCTACAGCGCTACCCAGATTTATTTCAGTTTAGTTATCAATCAGGTCAAACTTCATCGGTCATTGGACACGCTAACGCTACAGATGCTTCCGACTCGGCACACGGACGCTGCGTGATGTTATTATTGTTGTCTAGGCAACCACAATGTTTTACATCATGTGGCAACGTTCAGCCAATCATGTAGCAGGAAGCAGAACCAGAGCAGATCTGGTAGCTGCAGCGGTACCAGTAGTAGCAGTTACCTCCAGCTCTCCCTCTGGTTTATTGGTTTACTGGTTTGTGGACTGGGCCGTTAGTTCTGACCATTGCTCTGTGGACCCGGCTGAAGGGAACTGGTCTGAAGTGGATGAGAGAACCAGCAGGTTTGGACGTGGCTCTAAAGTCTAACTGTTCTTTGATCCCTACAGACTCCGGACCGCCGATGGTCCTGCTGACGTCTGGTCTAGGTGAGAGCTTATTGGCTGAAACAGAGATGTGACCCCTCCCACAAACACACTCACTTCCTGTTAGAATGATGTCACTTCCTGGATTGAATGTTTGTTTCTTTGCACTTACCTTCACAATCTGTGTTAGGTCTGAGGCAGTACCTGGGAGGGGGAGGGGCTTGCAGACAGGTGTGCTGTTTCTGAGAAATGTCTGTTCAGGTGTGTTGATTCATTCTGCTGCGATGATGTCACAATAAAAACCTGTTTACAGCTTCCTACGGATGGCTCTGATTGGTCTTTAAAGGAGGCGTAACCGAAAACGTTTCTCCAGCTAAGGAGACAAAGGCCAGTAACCTTCATACGCCATCTGTCAGAGAGGGGCTTTAAAGCCATAAAACTTCTCCTTCAGCACCACATGGGGGCGCCATTATGTGTCTTTTCCTTCCATGGATCAATGGAGCCCCAGGATGGGTAGAAGCATCAAGCAGCATCCACCCTGAAAGCTGGACTTTAGTTCAGGCCTTGATGGGTCTGACCCAAACCAGATCTGGGTCAAGCTGGTTTCTGAGAGCGTCCTGCTCCCCGATCCCCCAACTGATCCAGGATCTGTCATTCAGTGTGGAGGCTCAGCATGGAGCTTATGTAGCAAACAGCTCATACCTGACCTTTGACCTGACGGAGCTGTCTAGATGCCTCCCTCGACTCTGTTGGGCTTCAGATTTACCTAAAACAGGTTTGTCCATATGGTGGTCTGAGGGCGGTTTGCGACCTTCAGGATGACATCATATGGCCCTAAACAGAGATGGGAAGTACAAATACTTTGTTACTGTACTCAAGTAGATTTTTCTGATATTTTTACTTTACTTTACTACTTATTTTTATGACGACTTTTTACTTCTACTCCTTAAATTTTTACACAAATATCTGTACTTTCTACTCCTTACATTTTAAAAAATTGGCTCTTTACTTTAGTTTTGAATCATTTCAATGGAGTTACCGTTATTATTTTTCACGTCATCAATACCAAATTCAATCTAATTGGATGGGAATCTACGTTGCATTTGACGCACCACTACAAGATGAATCGACAGATTCGGCGGTATTCATTGGCGGCAAATCATTGCAGCTTGGTGGCGGTGGCGTTAGCATAGTAGCATGGACGACGAGATGATTGAAAATGAACACAACGGAGATCTAGTCCTATTGGCAGACATCCATTTAAAATGTAGGCAACGGCATGAAAAAAGTGGTTTCTACTTTTACTTTTATACTTTAAGTAAATTTACAAGCCTGTACTTTGTTACTTTTACTTGAAAAAAAGAAGTTTAATCAGTACTTCCACTTTTATCAGAGTATTTTTTAACACAAGTATCTGTACTTTTACTCAAGTACGGAAAGTGAGTACTTTTGCCATCTCTGGCCCTAAACCACAATTAAACGGTGGTTTCAACTTGATTTGACTAACTTGGTCTGAAAGAGAACATTAGCCTGATTTATAGAGACTTTTACAAATCTAAAAAAATGCTGAGAGAATGCAGACCTCCACTGTGACCTGATCTGGATCATCACCTGTGGCGACTGGTCCATAGGGGGCACTCTGGCGCTGCCCTCCCTAGATGTGGAAAGTCATAATATATATATATATAGATTTTAAAAGTAATATGAATTACTTAAAAAAGACTTCTACCAACTGACTCTCCATCATCAGAGTTTTTCCACTGACGGAACGCATCAGTTCTCTTCTTGGGCACAAAGTAACCAGTTGTGATGTAACTAGTAGTCAGTCAGGAAGTGAGGTCATAGCGATGAGTCGTTTATCAAAGGTCAGGATGGATAAAGACATCTAGGACTGATTTAAAGCGCTTTGTAGAAAAGGCAAAGAAGAACGAACAATCTGGGATTCACATGGAAAATAATAGAATATAGTCGACTTTTCTAAATGTTTGTTCATTTGCATAGTTGCTCTTAAATAAACACATTCTCAGAAAATAAATAGTTTTTATATATTACAAAAATCTAAAGCTGACTAATAGCTTCTCGAGTATTAAACTGGTCCATTATTTTTTTTTAGGTTTATTGGACCATGAAAAACAGATCAACCTTCACAGCCTCAGAAGGATAAAATTAATGGACAGAAACTAAACCTGGACATTAAATAATGTTTAATGTTTATAAAGTGTTGTTCTAATGTTTTTTGTTGTTTGTATTCATATAAATATATTAGTAGGATAACTTAGTATAAGTTTGACTGGTTTTTGGTAAACATTTTTGGATTTATAGCCCCCCCCCAGAGAAAACTCCACTGGACCATTCCTCTGCAGGAGGCGCACCTCTGGTTCTCCTATAGACTGACTGACACTCTGATGAAAATTAAAGTATATCAGCAGTAAATTTAAGGCATGTTAGTATTTCTTTTCTTTCAGCCATGTTTGTGTTTTTAATTTAATTTAACAGCAAAAGGACCAGAAACATCCAGAGGGTTTCCCTGGAAACCAGATTTCCTCATTGGATTAATGGGTCTGGATAAGCAGAGAACCAGTTCCTGTTCTGGTTCTGATCAGCTTTGAGTTCTGTTCTTCGATGGTCCCACAGTTCTGCAGAACCAAAGTTCTTCTTCTTCCAATGAAATAGTGGCGTCCCATGCTGCGGTCGGGTCCAGAGCTCCCTGATCCGGACCAGAACATCTAAAGACAAAAGAGTTCTGTAGAACCGACCCGCAATCAAAAAAAACTTTAACACCATCAATGCAGTTCTGGTAAGTTCTGGTCACCCGAGTCCACTTCTGTCTCAGCAGGAGACGCTCATTCCAACAGAACCAAACTAAATCTGTACAAGAAAAAATAAATATTTTTACAGTATTTACAGAAACTACCTGCAATGGTGAGCAGCTCAACCAGCGATGGGAACCATGGCGATGGGAACCATGGCGATGGGAACCATGGCGATGGGATCTGATCAGAACCGTTTACGGTTTGGTCCCAAAGTTAAACCGACTCAGTCCGACCATTTCTACACATTAAAGCAGCTGAAAGGAACCAGAACCAGACTTAATTGGGTCAGTGAACCCATAACCCAATCAGAACCCTGTCCTGGGAATCTGGATCTGATGCTTCAGTGCTGGTTGTCGTGGTAACAGCTTGGCTTGGATGGTTGGGCTCCTGCAGAGTTTGCATCCCTGAGTTTGGACTGAAGGTAGTTAAAGTGATGACTGAACAAAGTTCTGATCGGGTCAGGTCCAGTTTTGGTGCTGTGAAGAGCAGTATGACATCATCATGATGATGTCACTATTGAGTTCATTCTCCTGTTGCCCTTCAGCCTAAATCACCTCTATGTTGAGTTTCTTCTTCTGTGGTTCTGTTGAGTTCAAGAAGCTGATCCGATGCTCAGGCACTTCGCCAGCCTCTTGCAGACTGCTTGTTCCCGCCCCCTGGGAGGAGGATGGTGACGAGCGGCTGGGGGCATCGCCAGAACGCCGGCAGCGGCTCCGCAGGACGAAAGCGGCGGTTAGAGTCACCACACCGAGAGTCACGCCAGCTAACACCAAAACAACGACCAGCTGGAGGTCTGACAGTCCAGTGGCACCACGCTCTTTCACGGTTACCTTCACCTTCCTGTCATCACGGCGACCACCGTCGCGCCTCTGAGTGGTCCAGACCGGTTGGCTGGCATTAGGCGGGCTGGGCGGGTTTTCGCAGGTGGAGCCGGTAAATCCCGGCCGGCAGAGGCAGAGGAAGCCTCCTGCGCGGTCCAGGCAGCGGCCGCCGTTCAGGCATGGCTGACCGATGCAGTCGTCCATGTTGACCGTGCAGAAACGCCCCGTGATTCCGGCCGGGCAGAGGCAGGAGAACCGGTTCACTCCATCCACGCAGGTGGCGCCGCTGGCACACGGTCCCATCAGACAGTCGTCAACGTCGGTCTCACAGTGCCGCCCCGTAAACCCTGCGAGGCAGCGGCACGCCAGCTCTGCCGCGAAACCGTCAGCGTCCTCACACAGGCCGCCATTTTTACAGGGAGACCTGGAACCAGACAGGAGAGTCAGGCTGAATCCCGGACCACCCCCCTAACCACCAACCCTTCACTATCAAGTGTCACTTTCTGGAAGGCGCCTTGATTGAAGGTGGGGGGGTATGAACGAACATGGGGCGGCCTCTTCTCCAACAGAAAAGGAAAACAGTCGTTGCTATGGCAACACAGTGACGCCCCATGTGTGTGGCTGTAACTCTGTGGCGCAGGGTAACATTTGCCCCTTTCTTAAATCAGATCTATACAATAATCTATACTGATCTATGTTGATCTTTCAGACCAACCAGCAGATTCAGGTTCTTGGTGCGGAGGAGTGGATCAGGTATCAGATGATGGATCCTCACCTTCTCTGGTGACAGGGTCCGATCCTCTTCTGACAGGTGGAACCATGGAAACCCTCTGGGCAAACACACCGGAAGTCTCCGCTGTCCTGCATCAGACAGGTGGCGCCGTTGTGGCAGGGCTGCTGGGAGCAAACGCCGAGGTCTGGCAGGAAACATGAGAACAAGGAGCAACTTCATGAAACGTGAAGCTCAGAGGAGTTTCAGGTGTTTTTGTGTCAGTTTCCAGCAGAACCTTTGTCACAGAATCGACCGCCCCAGCCTGGATGACACGTACACTGCCACGGCTGCAGGCAGGAACCGTGCACGCACCCTGGCATCGTCATGCAGCGCTCGCACAGCTCACCCTCCCAGCCTGGATCACACCTGGAAACAAGCATTAGGTGAACAGGACATGTCAAAGATATAGAGAGAACAGACGGGTAGCCAGAAACACAGAGCGACCATGACACTAAAACATTTCACTAAGGCTGAGAAAAACTTTATTATTGTTATCTTGTATACAAAACGCAGCTTTTTTTAACAGTGAATGAAATCCATCCATCTTCTTCCTCTTATCCGGGGTCGGGTCAGGGGGGTAGCAGCTTCAGTAGGGAGGCCCAGACTTCCCTCTCCCCAGCCTCTTGGTCCAGCTCCTCCGGGGGAATCCCAAGGCGCTCCCAGGCCAGCTGATTAACATAGTCCCTCCAGTGTGTCCCGGGTCTCCTCCCGGTGGGACGTGCCTGGAACACCTCACCAGGGAGGCGTCCAGGAGGCATCCTAACCAGATGGCCGAGCCACCTCAACTGGCTCCTCTCGATGTGGAGGAGCAGTGGCTCTACTCTGAGTCCTCCCAGGATGACTGAACTCCTCCCCCTATCTCTAAGGGAGAACCCAGACACACTGCGGAGAAAACTCCTTTCAGCCGCTTGGATCCAGGATCTCGTTCTTTCAGTCGTGACCCAAAGTTCATGATCATAAATGAGAGGAGGAACGTAGATCGACCGGTAAATCCAGAGCTTTGCTTTTTGACTCAGTTCTCGCTGAACCACACACTCACATTCCCTTGCTTGCAGTGAAATGAACATATCCATTTATAAAATGCAGCAGTGATCAAAATGTAAACATGGTGCGAAAGGCATTGATGTGGAAGGTTTAGAGCAGTGGAAAAATAAATGAATTAATAAATACGGTGCAAAATGCAGCAGAAACACTGAGTTGAGTTCTATTTTAAGGGATTTGAAAGATTCACCATATAGTTTAAATACTAGTGTTGCACCAATACCGATACCAGTATCGGACGGGGCCCCGATACTGCCCTAAAATGGTGGTATCGGTATCGGCGAGTAGCAACAAATAGGGCACCGATACCATTTTGAGAGCCATAAGTTTATTAAACTATTGTCACCCACTCCTGGTAGGCAATAAAAAGTTCTACTTTTATTAGAGTTTTTTCCTGCTTCACAAAGGTAGGCAGCAGCTTGACATGAAGCCATGATGGCAATTATTTTACATTATTATGTATCGGTATCGGCCGATACTGCACAGCCAGGTATCGGTATCGGGGCCAAAAAATGGCATCGGCGCAACACTAGTAAATACGACGTTAGCTTGTGATGCAGAGTCTGGATTTCTGACTTGATTACAGTTTCATCAGTTCATCAGTGTGATGGCGGTGGGGAAGAAGCTGCTGCAGAACCTGCTGGTCCTGCATTGAACGCTGTGAAGCTTCTTCCCAGAGGGCAGCAGGGAGAACAGTCCATGGTGGGGGGGTGAGGGGTCATTGATGATGTCACGGGCTCGGGACACGCAGCGCTGGGATGAAATGTCTTTAATGGAGGGAAGAGGAGCCCCCAGGATCCTCTCTGCTGTTCTCACCAATAGTCTCCTCTCTGTAGTCCTCTGGTTGTCAGGTTGAATGAACTTAAGACTTCAGAAAACTTTTATTGTCATTTTATACACACAGAGTGTATATACACTGGAAAACTATCTAGAAATAAGTAAAAATATCTTAAATTAAGTGTATTCATCCTTAATTTGAGCAGGTAAATGAGATGATTTGCCAATGGAATGAGTATTATTACTCTTAAAATAAGATATTTAAATAAAACGCACTTGAAATAAGACAATGCAAATGTGTTATCTTATTTTAAATGTAAATTTTCTTGTTTCATTGGCAAAATGTCTCTTTTACTTCCTCAATTCAAGAACAAATGCACTTATTTTAAGAAAAAATGACTTATCTAGATTTTGATTTTTTTCCAGTGTACAACATAATTTAGTTTAGTGCAGCTTTTAGACAGTAAATAAACATTTCCATTCCACAAAGAGCAGCAGAGGGGAAGCTTGAGATGCAGAGACTGAAGCTGGTTTCTTGCAGATTTAATACAACTGAAGCAAATATCCAAAAACATAAATCTACTGAGAACCATGAATACTCAGAAGAGCAAAGAAATGAAGATGAACCAGCAAACAGTGACTGGAGGTGTATATATGGGAGACAGAAACAAAGGCCGGGCTAATCAGCAGATTGAGAGCAGGTGTGGGCAGAGGAGTCTAGAAGGGAGTTTGGGGAAAGGAGGCTGACACAAGAGGGCTGCAGAGAGCAAACAAGACATACCTAAGAACTCAAATACAACAAAAATGACAAGAATAACAGAAAATGAAAAAAATGGTGAAAACTTAAGCAGAACCAGAACCATGACAGCGGATGTGATGACGCCTTACCTGCAGACTCCAAACTCATCACAGCGGCTGTTGGTCACGTTGCAGCTGCAGTTACTTCCTGCAGGAAGACGGAGATCAATCAGAAAACAGGAAGCAGAAAAAAAACCCTTTCAGAATAAAATGTCCAGGATATTCTGCTGGAGATCAGGAAACATTTCAACCAGTTTCAATCAGCAGAACCAGAACATTCAGCCTGGAGGTTCAGAGTCTGGTGAGATAAAAGCTCCTAGAAGCTGATGGGTTCTGTTAGCGCTGGCTTCGGTTCTGCTGATTCCGCTCATGTCTAAAGCAGCAGAACCGCTCAGTCTGACTAAAGATGTCACAATCCATCCCAGTTAATAGATAGCGGAATGTTTGCTCCATGTTTAGACTCTGACCTCTGACCTCTGGCCGTGTGGCGGCTCAGTGTGCAGCTGACGTGACTGCAGGCAGATCGAGTGTCGGCTGGAATGAACCGTAATCTCCGTAATCCGACACGAGCCGCTGGAACAACAACTAGCAAGCCGGACACCTCCGACAAGGACGGCTGCTGGACGCCACATGTCACAGGTTAAAGGTCAAACACTCGGCCTCCACATACAGCAGGAACTCAGGATCAGAAAACCAATATCTAGAATGCAATATCTAGAAAAAGGGCGTGCCGTGAGGAAGAGCAGGTTCATCATCAGAAGAAGAGATCTGAAGGGGAGCAGTTCCAGGAAAAAGGACATTTCCTACTTTTTTTTTATTAATTCAAGGTTTGATTTATAACTTTTAAGACAAACTTTAACTGCAGCAGTCATATTAATTACAACCTTACATTTTTCATGGGCCTATAACGGATTTAAAAAAACGTCTGTACAGAAGATTTACAAAATAAAAATACAAAAGAAAAAAAGAAAAAAAGAAAACAGACATTTTATCCCAGTTGTATTTAGAATTAATATGTTAAAATTATTATAGATTATTCTGGACACCATATTTTTTAATATGAAACTATTTTAAATATCTTTTCTTTCCATCTTTTAAACTCAGGAGGAGGTGGCTCCTTGCTGCTGAAATAAACCTACGTTAGTGATCAGATTTATTTACTCCCAGAATCGCCGATTATCTTCAATCAAAAGTAACGTCGCTGGCTTTGGTCATGCCAGTCCATGATACACCTGAACCCAAACACTTATTGCATTCCCAGACAGCATGTATAAACATGGCTGACTGACATTTCCAGCAGTTATTGTTTGTAATAATCCCCATTCTTTGAAGTTTCTCCATTTATACTGAATAAATATCCTTTCGGCCTCTTTTACAACGATCTAATAATGCTTTATCCCATTCCTCCTTACTTACGGTACGCCCCAAATCATTTCGCCAAATAGTTCTTAAGTTCTTAAATTATTCAACTATTTGTATAATACTGTTGCGCTATGTCCTCTAATGGACGATTTACAGTAGAGCAGCAACTAACAACTAATTTTTTAAAGGAAAAGTCGCTCATATTCAGAATTCAAACTTCTGAAAGTTCTTTAAAAATGAAATGATTCCATCGTGTTCAATAAATGATCAGTGTTTTTAATTCAGAGTAATTTTCATGTGAATGTGCTTTACTGGAGGCATCCATGTTTGTCAAAGAACACTACTGCCATCTACTGGTTAGTGACGTCACGGTGCGGTATCGGCTGTTGATCAAGTCCCAGTGCTGTATCTGGTGTTTGTCACAACGCGCTATTATCCAAGTCATCTTGAAAACATTCTTCTTCCAAATGTTGGCTACATATTACGGGTTTTTTCTCTGGCCAGAAGTTCGATGGCAAATCCTCCCTCTTCAAGTTGGCGATCCAACGACCAACCCGTCCGTGGAGGATCAGGAATCAGAAAGGTGGAATAACTCTTTATTTCCCTTTTACCCGATGTATTCCAGCATCCAGCTGCCATGCACGTGGGCATTGTCAGTTTCACTATAGCTCTGGTGAATTTCAATGGTGAAGTCCTCTGGAAATCTTCAATAATTGTTGTTGATTGCAGATGTGTCTAATAGTTCCCATTGATTTAGCTTGTAAAGCGGGGAGAATGGCGCTAGGCTTACTGCACCGTGACGTCACTGCTGGAAGATGGCAGGAGGGAGGAGCTACTATATTTGGGCAAAAATGGCCGCTCCCAGACTCAGTGATCACGATGAAAATTATTGTTTTTTTACCGATTAACGCTAAATTCATTAAATCACTGTGAACGTTTTAGTTTTAGGTATAAATAATGATCCATTGATTATTCCTGCTGACCAGACTTTTCCTCTGACGACTTATCTTTCCACAAACGTTTTGATTTGGCAACTAATCTTAACAACAAAGTTCCCCAAAAAGTTCCCCACTGTTGGGGGTTGGCAGAGTAGCCGCTTACGACGGAGTATTAGGGCCAGGCTGGGATTATTTTTATTTTTATCTCATGAATAAATTCATCATTCAACAACCAGTTTCAGAAATAAAGCTTGGAGCTCCGCCCAGCAGATGACGGCTGACCAGCTCCACCAATCAGCAACCAGAGTCCACTTTGACCTCCTGCCCAGTTTGATGCTGCTGCTAAAAGATTTCCTGATTATTCAAACTGATGCTAAAGTAGAACTTCACATGATGCTCCACATTCTTCATTTTAGGGAAGAAAGGGCTTCTGGGAAGAGTTGGCATAAAATACGACTTTATTCTTGTAATTTTAGGACTTTATTCTCGAAACAGAAGAAGAAACTAAATCTCTAGCCTGGCCCTAATACTCCGTCGTAGCCGCTGGATGGTGACGCCAAGTTAAAAAAGGTTACATTCGTACTGTGTCTGTGTACTCATATGATAAACCCTCTGCCTCAGTCTGGTGCCGGTCTTCTGTCAGACCAGCATACCAATAATCAATACCAGTTTTGCCCTTTAGTTTTTACGAAATATCAACTTTAAACTACCTCGACGGGCCTGCATCCCTTAAGTCATGTACAAAAAAACATTTTAATTACTTTATGTTTTTTGAAGTGCATGGGGATCTGCCCTTAAAATGCTTTTTTGAACATGACAAAAAGGATACACGCCCGTTGAGGTAGTTTAAAGTTGATATTTCGTAAAAACGAAAAGGATAAAACCCAATCTGACATCATAAGCATGTGTATTAACTATAGGTATGCTGGTCTGACAGAACACTGTCTTAAAAGCACAAAAATGATAATAAATGTGCGTTTATAGCTTTGTTCAACATTCATTCTGCAGATAAAAAATAAACTCTAAAGGTTAAATAAAGCAGGTAGAATGGATTGTTATGTAGAAGGAACAGAGAGCAGCTCTGATCATTATTGCTGAACTAAAACATTTTTATGAACTATGGAGAAACAGTTTATAAATCCACTAATTAACTAGAAATATTAAAACCTGCTGATGAAAAATATTGGATTATATATTCTGGTTCTTGAAGTTTTTACCCTTAAAAACTCTTTCTATTCACTTCCAGCCGCTCCGAGCGGCAGCAGGAAATCCCCCACAGGCTGGCTGCAGCAGAGAGCTTCCAGCGGGGATTCCCAGCGCTGCCTCCCGGCGGGATGCTGGAGGTCTGGAGCTCCCAACAAGAACCGCAGATTATAGTGGGATTATAATCCTGATGAAAGGATGAACAGAGGATGTTTGGAGGTGGATTTTCTCACTTAGAAACAAACAACCAGAGCGCCGGGCAGCAAAGCAGCTGGACCACAGTTTGATCCAACATCCGCATTTCTGCATCTGAGCATTTTTGACGCCCAGAATGTCTGCAGTGAGAACGCAGCATTACAGAGAGTACCAACCGCTCTATCACCAGCTGCCTGAAAGTATCTGCATACTTTGGATACTTTTGTTCTTCTTGATTCCTCTGTCATTGATTCAGACTCACCCCGTTCTGCCATTTTCATATCACGCTGAAAACCAGAACCAACAGCAACAGAAGCTCCTGACAGGAGAGGAAATGGGAGCCAGTTTTCCAGCGGGGTGCGCACAGCGACACCCTGGAGGGGATTTCCTCAGATGAGCCGATTATGTCAACGGTGGGATCAATAAAGTCTATCTTATCTTATCCTAATAATGATAATTGAACTTTATCGCGTATTGGTGAAATTCTCTCTCTGCATTTAACCCATCCCCTAGAGGGCTGCCATTGTGTGTTGCCCGCGGAGCGGTGTGGGGTTAAGGGTCTTGCTCAGGGAGCCAGAGTGGAGGCTGTGGGGATCGAACCGGAAACCTGCGCAGAGCTCTGCTCTAAGCACTAGGCCATGACTCCAACCTTCTACTAAAACTACGTTGACTGATCGCTGCAGCCTAATTTACTCCACAACGGATTTGCTTCCTGTGTAAATTTGCCTTTGGTAAAGCAGTTCCTCATTGGAAACGCCTCCAGAAATTACCCCTTTTTTCAATCTATATTTTAATAGGTTGTGATCTTCCAAGCAGAACCTGGGGTGTGTCTGGTGTTCAGGTTAGGTGACCTACCTTCACCGGCACAGGTGGGGGTGAAGAAGATGAAGCAGCAGCAGCTCAGCAGTAGCAGGACGGCCACAGCTCGGACCGCCGACATGTCGGCTGCAGCGAGACGGCGTCCTGCAGAAGGAGGAGACACTTTATCAGCTGGAAGGTGGCGAGATACAGACAGAGACCCACGTGACCTCGTCTGGATCAAGCAGAACCAGATTAATCAGAGCTGCTCTCTCAGGCGTGAACTTGGACTAGACCACTTTAACGCCTTCATTCTTTTGTTTCTCCATTTTTCAGTTGTAGGTCTGCTGCTGTTGACCCAGTTTGGACCAAGGTCTAGGGTCTGTTTCACCGCAGGTTTAACAAACTCCAATCTGCAACTCTATATTGATCTGGCCTAAGGTCAGAAACTCTGAGTTTTCCTTTTCTTGATGTGATTGGTGGTGAACCTGGGGACGCAGTCGTGCGTCATCAGGGGGCTCAGGACGCAGCCCTGAGGGGAGGGGCTTAGACTGATGACATCAGAGGCGTTCTGTCCGACCCGGACTGACTGAGGTCTGTTGGTGAGGAAGTCTAGCAGCCTGTAGCAGAGGGGTGTATTGAAGCCCAGCTGTTCCAGTTTGCCCATCAGATGCTGTGGGATGATGGTGTTGAAAGCTGAACTGAAGTCCAGGAACAGCATCCACACGTGGGTGTTCTTCTCCTCCATCACCAGCCAGCTGTGATCACCCGTATGCGATGGGTTAGCGTATTTCCACTTCCTCCTGGTGTTGCTGGCATCATGGAGGAGATCCAGGATCTTCTGGCTGTGGTTCTGCTTCGCTGATCTGATCTCATTGATCTGCTCAAAGCTCCAGGTTTCCACATGTGGACTCAGGGTTTCTCTCCCTGGTTCTGGTTCTGCTGTAGCGCAGTGTGTAGCGCGTCTTAGAACATGTGGTCTTCATTTTGTCCAGCCTCTCGTTGCAGACTGCAGAGGGACTGAAGGGCAGAGAAGATGAACGGAACCACAGGGCCGGGTGGAACCGACTGCAGGTCATCTTTCCATCCTGGTCTGACCTCAGAGACACTCTGGCTTTTTTAAGCCGTCCCTGCAGGTCTGTGGCGTCGCTGTAATGTGTGTGAAGCTGAGACGCTCGGATCAAAGGAGTGAAACTGGAGCTGCTGACAGTCGCTCCTCCTTCAGCTCCAACTGCCATGGTCCCAGTTAGGGAGCTTCTTCAGGAAGCAGGGATCCATGAAGATGGAGCCGTGACTAAGGCTCCAGTCTAGTCCTGCGTCTCGAACTGCTGTTTCACAAAATCGTTCCTTCTTCTAGACTGGCTCCATGAGTGGAACACAAAGCTGGAAGCTTGCAGGAGTTTCTGGAAGCCATGGTTGGCTCTTCCAGTCCAGCATCATCGTCTCTTTCCTGGGTCATAAATCCTTTCACATCCAAGCCCATACCATGACCCAGCCTCCTCCATGTGGGTCCATCCCTGAAGAAGCTGAACATCAGTCTGCTCAGACCTGAAGGTTCTTCAAATTAATCAATTTTCTGTGAAGTTCTGGCAGTGATGGATCATCCCTGTTTGCTGTGGAAGGAGCAGCAGCCTGAGATGCTGGAACCCATGAGGGAAAGATCTCTAGAGGGTCGTCTGGTTCTGAAGTTCCAGCCTGCTGAGTTAATTTGGCCTACCTGTTCTTCCTCCTCCTCCTCCTCTTCCTCTACTTCCCGCTCTCTGTTTCCTTCAGCCTTGTTGCCGTGGTGACCACCTTCTGGATCACTGTGCCCACACGGTCGACTGTCAGGCAGGAAAACAAGGGGCAGATCAATTTTCCAGAGATTCCAGCGAAGAGCTCGGCCTCTGCAGAGACAGGAAGCAGCATGCCTGGATTACTGACAGCGTTTGTGTAACTCACATACCACAGCACCCCCCCACCAAACACACACACGCAGCTTTTATTTCAGCCTGTTTGCTCTGGAAAGAGAAGAATGAGGGGAGTGTGGAGAGAAAGCAACAGGTGGTTGGTTGACCAGAGACTGAGTCAAAGCAAACATCTTTTTCAGTGTTTTCTGCAGGAACTCACTGCTGCTGTGAGAGAGAAAACTCGCAGCATCAGGACGGTCCAATCAGAGGCCAGAGAATCACATGACCAGGACTAAATAGTCGGAACGTTAACGATGTTTATCCCCGAGCAAAGAACACTTTTGATTTTAAAGATTTAAAGGAGTTTGACTTTCAAACGGCTCCAAGGTTCTTTCCTTTTTCTTATTTTATGTCTTGCTTATTGTCCAGTTTTCTGTAAACTGGATGCAGTTTAAGTTTCATCTCTGAGATTTTTCTCTTCTGCTCCCATTTTTGGATATTTTATTAATTCTCACATTAATTTGTCTGCTGTGCGCCCATTAGCCTCCTTTTGGCTAATGTTTTTTTCCTTTCACACTAAACTTGAGACATCTCCCTGCTGAACCTCTGATTATGGAAAGCTGTATTGGTCATTAATCAGGTGCTAGAATAACCTGGACGCTGTATTTACTAAATGCTGTTTCAAGTAATAAACCAGAGTTACACATTTAATGAATGCTGCAAGCAGCTTAAGGCTGATTTATATTTCTAAACCTGGTCTTCTGCGCCGCCCAGTCAGCAGCAGAGGGCTAATACTCATAGCTCCAGTTCGCAGTCATGGCTGCGAACTGTGATACCGGTGTGCGGTTTGTTAAACAATGCCTGGATGTATGGAGCCATTTCGTTTACAACGCGAAGGAAAACACTGAAGGAAAGACGCCACCAAAGAGTCTGCGGCTTCAACATGGCAGGAAAGAACACAGTGAATTTTAAGCGACTTCTGAACACGCTGCCGTATGAAAGAAGGTAAGGAACGTGTGTGTGTGAATGTATATGTGTGTCAATGGCAGCGAATGCATGTGGATATGTGGTCTTGTTTTACCTACAATGTGAGGGAAGTATTTTGAAAAATATCCTACATGGAGGACTTACAGGTACATATGGGGACATTCAACTGGTCCCTATATGGTAAAGTTCTGTTCTTTGAGTCGGGGTTAGGTTTAGGACTAAGGTGTGAATTCAGTTTAGGTTAGGATTAGGTACATCTTGGTAATAGTTAGTGTTAGGGTAAGGGTAAGGGTCTGGGTTAGGCCATATAAAATGAATGCAAGTCAATGAAATGTCCCCATATGTCTTGAAAACAAAGCTGGATGTGTGTGTACCTTCCTGTGCCTGTATCTGTCTGTCTCTCTGTCACAGAAGAAAGATGTTCTACTGATACTCTGGATATTAATCGTTTAAATTTCTTCATCCTAACTATATACCTGACACAGTGACACCACAGGCAGATCAGAGGTTGGGGAATGAAGGGAAGTCTGTTGCAGAGTTGGTGGGAGCGCCCCCACCGTACAAACCTGACTCCAAAGAGCAGAAAGCCATGGAGAACTCAATGGCAAAGTGGATTGGGCGTTCTGGCCTGCCTGCAAGGACCATTGAGGATGAAGACTTTGTGGATATGATGAAAGAAGCCGACAAAAGGTTCAATGTGTGCAGAGGGATATATGTTAAAAAAAGAATCAATGAGTGAAGTACAATTCTGCACAGTGTTAGATAAATAAAATAGAGAAAAATAGAAGCTGTGTGTGAAGAACTGTTATTCTGTACAGTGTGATATATATGTTAAAAAAAGCAGTGTGTGGAGAAGTTCTATTATTTACAGCGTTGACTAAAATTGATTTTCGTCATTGTGACTAAGACAAAATTTTTAAAAAGCTGACGAAAGACTGCCGCAGACAGGAGGCTGGCTTGTTTTGTTTTTATCACCGAAATTGCGGAAAACAACTCGTAAAATTTGACCCGCTAGAAGAGCGAGGTGTGCGAGAACGCTGGGACCCTTTTTCCCCCCTGATCTCCGCTCTTTTTCGCCATCATGTCCCTCCGTTGTCGATCAAACTTGCCCCCACTTCCTCATCGCCTCGGCCGTATCTAGACCCACAGGGTGTAGCACAGACCACACTTCAATACTGAGCATAAATCAAAAATGTCTGCATCAAGCTCACTGCGACACAATGCTGCAGGAGGATAACCAGCCTTTAGAAGGTACCAGGTGTACCCTTTGATCACCAGGTGTACCCTTTGATCACCAGGTGGCGGCGTACCCTTTGATCACCAGGTGCGCCGTACCCTTTGATCACCAGGTGGCGGCGTACCCTTTGATCACCAGGTGCGCCGTACCCTTTGATCACCAGGTGCGCCGTACCCTTTGATCACCAGGTGCGCCGTACCCTTTAATCACCAGGTGCGCCGTACCCTTTGATCACCAGGTGCGCCATACCCTTTGATCACCAGGTGTACCCTTTGATCACCAGGTGTACCCTTTGATCACCAGGTGTACCCTTTGATCACCAGGTGTGCCGTACCCTTTGATCACCAGGTGCGTCGTACCCTTTGATCACCAGGTGGCGCCATACCCTTTGATCCCCAGGTGGCGCCGTACCCTTTGATCACCAGGTGCGCCGTACCCTTTGATCACCAGGTGCGCTGTACCCTTTGATCACCAGGTGCGCTGTACCCTTTTGAACCCCAGGTGGCGCCGTACCCTTTGATCCCCAGGTGGTGCCGTACCCTTTGATCACCAGGTGCGCCGTACCCTTTGATCACCAGGTGCGCTGTACCCTTTGATCACCAGGTGCGCAGTACCCTTTGATCACCAGGGGCGCAGTACCCTTTGATCCCCAGGTGGTGCCGTACCCTTTGATCACCAGGGGCGCAGTACCCTTTGATCCCCAGGTGGTGCCGTACCCTTTGATCACCAGGTGTGCCGTACCCTTTGATCACCAGGTACGCCGTACCCTTTGCTCACCAGGTGCGCCGTACCCTTTGATCACCAGGTGCGCCGTACCCTTTGATCACAAGGTGGCGCCATACCCTTTGATCACTAGGTGCGCAGTACCCTTTGATCCACAGGTGGCGCCATACCCTTTGATCACCAGGTGCGCCGTACCCTTTTGATCACCAGGTGCGCAGTACCCTTTGATCACCAAGTGGCGCCATACCCTTTGATCACCAGGTGCGCCGTACCATTTTATCACCAGGTGGCGCCATACCCTTTGATCACCAGGTGCGCCGTACCCTTTGATCACCAGGTGCGCCGTACCATTTGATCACCAGGTGGCGCCATACCCTTTGATCACCAGGTGGCGCCATACCCTTTGATCACCAGGTGCGCCGTACCCTTTGATCACCAGGTGCGCCGTACCATTTGATCACCAGGTGGCGCCATACCCTTTGATCACCAGGTGGCGCCATACCCTTTGATCACCAGGTGCGCCGTACCCTTTGATCACCAGGTGCGCCGTACCCTTTGATCACAAGGTGGCGCCATACCCTTTGATCACCAGGTGCGCAGTACCCTTTGATCCACAGGTGGCGCCATACCCTTTGATCACCAGGTGCGCCGTACCCTTTTGATCACCAGGTGCGCAGTACCCTTTGATCACCAAGTGGCGCCATACCCTTTGATCACCAGGTGCGCCGTACCATTTTATCACCAGGTGGCGCCATACCCTTTGATCACCAGGTGCGCCGTACCCTTTGATCACCAGGTGCGCCGTACCATTTGATCACCAGGTGGCGCCATACCCTTTGATCACCAGGTGGCGCCATACCCTTTGATCACCAGGTGCGCCGTACCCTTTGATCACCAGGTGCGCCGTACCATTTGATCACCAGGTGGCGCCATACCCTTTGATCACCAGGTGGCGCCATACCCTTTGATCACCAGGTGCGCCGTACCCTTTGATCACCAGGTGCGCCGTACCCTTTGATCACTAGGATGTATATCATTAATACCTGTTTTTCAAACATGGATCGACTCGCTAACAATATGGCTCCCTTCCCACTGGTATAAAAATCTGGACCAGCCCCTCGCAGGCAGCTGTGTGGCCTCTGTCCCCCGCAGCGGCGTGTCTGGTGATACCACTACGCTGGGTTAGCGTTGATGATGTCACAAGTGAGACAGAAATAAGGGAAGTAAACAATAGAGAGCACGTGGAAGGAAGCCATTGCGTAGTCAGTTTGCTTTATTGTTTCTCTCTATTATCTGTCTGAATCCGTCTCACCAGAGCTGCTCCATGTTTATCGTGTTTCTGCTTGTTAGATCAGAAGCGACTGACGTGCTGTGTTGACGTCCGTACATTGAGTTCAATGGTATCACGTAATTAAGCAGGTCAAGCCGTCTCTGGTGTTCCAACGGCTTGCTGATCAGAGCCGAGGCGATTTGAACGCGGGTCACATGCCGAGTCGTTTGACCCTGGTAGACACGCGTCAGCAAGCTGTGAGCCGGGTTTAAACAGGTTTTCTAAACAGCGGGAAAGAGGTTGAAAGATTATCATCTAAAGGGGCTTTCCATAGAGTTTACCTTCTGCAGGTAATCAGTCCAGGTCTAAACCCTTGTTCTCATGCTCCACTGTCCTTCATGTATCTCCACCCATCAGATTATTGATGAGTGGAGATATTATCACCTCCTCAGCCGCCTTTAAATCACCTTTTCCTGGTCTGGTTTAACCAAGATCCAGTTGGTCCATCTGGCCCGGGCTCCTCCAGTGGAGGTCAGCAGGTTTGGACCGGCTTATGCACCTAGAGCATCAGTCTTTAGCCTTGTAAATGTCTGACCCTGGGGAGCCGAACCTTCTGGGACTCAGCCCTAACCCTGAATCAAATGGTAGATGATCCAAACTGCAGCAGACAGAACCACCTTATGGGTCAGAACGTGGTTGACTCTCATCAGCAGGGGGTTAGAAACCTGAACACGCACCGGCTTTAGATCTGACGCCATGTGAGGCTGAAAACACACCGCAGGCATGATTCACAGTCAGCATCACGAGAAAGGCGATCCAGCACGTTTATATCCAGACTCAGACTCCAGATTTACTGCCGACACTTTTACAGTATGATGTCACGCTTCGCACCGACCTCCTCCTGATGAAACCTTAAGCTTAAGGTCTGAAAGCTTTGCAGGGGAGCAAAGGGAAACCTGAATGGAAATGTGCAGGAGACGATAGCTGAACCATCATGTTACACCCGTCAGACATAGACACAGCCCACTGCTCAGCATAGATCCTTAGCAGAACCTGGGATACTTCAGAATCATCAAACACTCCTGATCAAACTACGCTTTAGTGAACTTCCAGCAGTGGTTAGTGCGCAACCAATGTAAGGAGGCCTTATGCTACATTCAGATTGCACGCCATAGAAGGAGCAAAAAAGCTCCTGCTGCTTCATCTTTGATCCACATTAAGGCCAGACGTCCAGTAAAGTCTGTCCAAATGCATCTGATGCGTCTGCTGCTCCTGCATTCAATGCCAGAGAGCAGCTTTGCTATATTTGCTGTGATCAGCGGGTAAAAAGTAGTGTTGTGTCGATGATAAAAAAGAAAAAGAAATCCTCCTGGTGCAGAAGTTCTTGTGCAGCACATTAGCCAATTTCCCTGCTGTGAAAAGACATCTCAATCAGAGGAGTTCCCCAGGGCTCCATCCTGCAAATGTGCAAAGTTAGAGAATTTGGGCATCATGAATCCTCTCTGCTTCATCAAAAATGGCGGTACCCCTTGAGTCATTTTAACACTCAAACACATTTTTTATTTGGCACAGTAGCCTGATCACTAAACATTGCAATGTTTCCACCTGCTGCTCTGTTCGTCACATCCAACAATAAATCATGGATAACAAAGTCAGCCAAAGTCGATGAGCATTTAGCCAAAGTGTGGATCAAGGGTCCAAAAGGGGTGGGGCAAAGGTCCACCCTGGAGAATAGCGATAAACTAGATGTTTGAACCCATTAATTCGGGTCATGGTCTCAGGCAGGCATGTCCAAAGACGAATCAGCTGATTCTGATGATTGCAGTTAATCCACCATCAGTTTGGACATGCCGGGTCCTACTGGGTGACAGGCCTCTGATCCACAAGCAGGAAAACTTTAAAGCAACACTGTGTGACTTCCAGCCACTAGAGGCGCTACATCTAATGTCCAGGTTTAGCTCCCCCTGCAGGCCACTGGCGGCACTGCTCCGTCTCAATGAACCGGTCTGAGTTCTGGTTCTGGTTTCAGACCAGTTTGGACCAGCAGGACTTGAATCCTGGAGTTCCTGATAAAGACGAGGAAATATTTTTCCTCTGGAGGAAATCCTGCATCAGAGAACCAGAAAAACATCTGATCAGCTTAGGGTCAGATCCACTTTGGTTGCTTAGCAACATTTTGAGCTAAGTCAGCTTTTAGTGAGTTCTTTAGAGCAGGATGCCGAGTGCTGAATATTGACTTGAAATATATATAATATTTTAAACTAATGCCTGAGGTAAAACTTATGCAGCATTACTTTAAGTCCTACAGAGACTAACGGCTCCATACTGCCCCCTACTGGAGCTTCTCCCAGTTTCACATCTTGGATAAAGACAGAGAAGAGGATTTCAGTAAACATGTTGAGATGTGAATCATTTCCACAGACTGCCATCCTACAGCGGAGCAGAGAGCAGGAATCCCTGCTGCATGTTTTCATCTAACACACCGAACCAATCAGAACGCTCAGATTTCCCTCCAGCTGCTCAGAAACGTATAACAACCTGGTCAACGTCTGACCAACACATTATTTCTGTGAGTCGGTTTTTAGTTTAAAACCTGTCTACAAAGCTCCGCCCACTTCCATCAACCCGCCTGACTGGCACGAGTCGTGACCTCAGGTCATAAAAACACGTTTCTAGGGTTTAAAGGCATCGCCAGGTGCTAAGGGACGATACGGAGGAAACATGGCTGATCAGGGTGGAAGACAGACATGCGAATCTTGGAGTAATAACAAAGGACTCTTTTAGATTACCGTAAATCCTCTAATATTGTATTCCATTAGCGGCCGGGTCTCTAATAACGGCCTGCGTCACTGGCGGCGGAGGTAAATAATGGCCGGACTCGTATACAGGCCGGGGCTATGATTAGAACCAACCATGTTCCTGGGCAGTCCTCAGCAGCCTGTGATAGTAACATACAAGTACCACAGGGGGGCAATGTTTGCTAACGAATCCAAGCTGTTAGCATGGGAAGTCACATTCTTAGCACAGACAGTGCAGCCTACAGGAGGCCGGCTTATTTTGTTTTTATGACCAAAATTGCGGAAAACGACTCGTGAAGTTTGACCCGCTAGAAGATCAACGTGCGCGAGAACCCTGGGACCCTTTTTCCACCTGGATACCCGCTCATTTTCGCCGTCATGTCCCTCCGTTGTCGGATTAAACTCACCCCCACTTGCTTCCTAGCGCAGACCATGCTTCAATATTAAGCATAAATCAAAAATGTCTGCATCAAGCTCACTGCGACACACTGCTGCAGGAGGATAACCAGCCACACATTCGTTCTGATCTGAAAGACACGTGTGATCACCTGTAGGTCTGGTGGTAACCAGGCAGCGTTAAAATGACAGAATGTCGTTGATCTTCGTTGTTCTGAATTTCCCTTGAATAATATGATACTGGTAGCCTACTTCCACTTAGCCTGCCTTAAATAGAACTTCACTGTGATGGCAGAACAGTTTCCATTCATTTCTTTTTCTTTACTTTGTTTCGCAAGTCCGTTTGGCCAAGATTCCGTTCTGTGTCTTTTTTTCTTGTATTGCCGTGCAGAAAAATTGCAGCTGCTGGAAGATGTCTGAACAATGTTCTGTATATCGCTATGGTAACTGTACTTTTTCAATAAATGAACCTCGTATTTTATAGGTTCAAACAGACAAAATCAGTTTTTTATTTGTTTCTCTGGTCGTCTGTTTTTATCAAATAGAAATAGAGGCCTGCCTCTAATTCTGGCCTCCTTCCAATAATGGCCTGGACCAAGATGCACCTGAGTGACATAAAGGCCCCGGCCTATATTAGAGGATTTACGGTACTAATATTTCAGTATTTAAAGCGCCCCCTGTGGGTGCAGTACCGGGGAGAGAAATGCTCCACAGCTTTAAACTGACAGAATCACAGCAGCAGCAACACAAGAACACCAGAACCACAAGAACCTGAAGGAGGAGAACCTGAAAAAGAACCTGAAGGAGGAAAAGTAGAAGGAGGAGAACCTGAAAGACCTGAAGGAGAACCTGAAAAAGAAACTGGAGGAGGAAAACTAGAAGGAGAAGAACCTGAAAGACCTGAAGGAGAACCTGAAGGAGGAGAACCTGAAGGAGAAGAAACTGAAAAAGAAACTGAAGGAGGAGAACCTAAAGGAGGAGAAGCTGAAGTAGAGGAAAGTCTTCTTACCTTTAGCCAAACTCTCCTTCCTGCTGCTGTGAAAACCTCCTGAATCTGCAGCTGTCAGCCAGTGTGTGCTCCCTGTTCAATGCCCACACACACCAACACACCAACACACACCAACACACACCAACACACCAGCACACACCAACACACACCAACACACCAGCACACACCAACACACACCAACACACCAGCACACACCAACACACACCAACACACCAACACACCAGCACACACCAACACACACCAACACACCAACACACACCAACACACGCTGCTCCTCTGCAGGTTGTCTCCAAGCGTTTGCTTTAATCTGAAGCTGCAGCAAACAACCAGGAGACGACCCCCCCCCCCCTCTCTGAGGAAGTGTGTGTGGGCGGAGTCAGACTCCCAGAGCGCGTGTGGTGTAAATCAGAGGATGTTGAGTCCACTCTCTGGTGAAATAAGGTGTTGATTGAACTCATAAACACTTTATTTTCTTTTCACACGTTCAGAAACTCGTCCTGCAGCCGAGTCCGTCTGAAAGCGCCTCTTTGTGGTGAACGCAGAACACCCAGCAGACGTCCCAACACTCTGAGGAGGAGCAGAGGAGCAGAAGGAGGAGGATCCATCTGATGGCGTCTCCAGAACTGAGCAGAATTCAGACCAGGAGCTGCCTGATGTCCCAGCAGGTTCAGACTCGCCCCGCTGGAACGAAGCGGAGCCTCTAAATGTTTTTCAAAGTTTAGAGACAATTACTCCTGACAGACGACCCGCTCCGTAACAGATCCCTACTCACTGATAGGCTGTGGATCCAGACGCAGAGAACGATCCCAGAAGTCCTTTGTTATCAGCAGAACATGAGCTTAATCGCTCTGAGATCATAAACATGTTGGGATCGGCTGTAGAACGCCTTTCTTCTGTTTTCAATGGGAACACGACGGTCTAGAAGTCTCCCAGAGGTCCACTAAAGCTCCTCTGGTCCACAGGAACAGACCTGGAGCTCCTCAGGACTGACCAATCACCATGACTACCACATTAGGGACGGCTCCTGGTCTGCTCACTGGGAGAGGAACCGTCTTCTGTTTAATGATTAGCTGAAAGGACCCGACCTCCTGAACGCCATGTCAACCAAAAACAGCTTGTGGGATAATGTTGATAAGATTCCCTGAGTTCTCCAGAACCGTCTGAGAGGCTAAAGTCCAGGATTTGTACTGAACCTGGTCCTGAATCCCAGGTTCTCCTAGATCATCCAGGAGCCGTTAGATCACATCGGTTCTGGTGATAAAGGCTTGATGGACGGACGATGCGTGGACTGTAGCTCCACGCCGCTGACTCATACCTGAGGTATCTTCACCTTCAAGTCAGGGCTGCCGCGTCTCCATAGAAACCACCTACCTGTCCCAGTCATGCGGAGCCAGGCATCTCCACCTGAGCGGTTCCTTTCCTCAGCTCCTGGTCGGTCCTCTGCTCCCCGCCGTAACCGGACCTCTCAGTGACGCCGCTCCGGGTCCAAATGTGATGGCAGGGGAGCGTGGGTTTGGTGGAGGGTGGTTGTGGGTATTGTTGAGGCGTTGAGGACTTGATGAGGGTCTAACCTGCTAAATGAAATGTAGCGGGAGCAGCTGGGGGATTCCTCTCTGCTCTGAACCCACAGCGTCTCAGACCACCTGGCTTACAGTGCAGCTCTGTTTATCCAGGCAGAAGAATGGGAGGGGGGGGGTAGCCTTGACCCCTTCCTCACCACCGCAGCTGAGACACTGCCCCCCCCCCCCCTCCCTCCATTCCTGGGCTCTTCATGTCCCCGCTCCTCTGAGGCCCTGCCAAGTTTAAACTGGAGAATCTGGCCTCACATATTTCCTCCATTACCGCCTTTGTCTCTTTATGTCCTTCATTACCTCCTTGCTGGCTCTTGTTTCCTTTCCTTGGCCCACGCTTCCTGCCTTGTTAGAGTGTCCTCTGTGTTTCTGACTCAGTGGCTCCTCTTCACCAACATGCATTTGGTCAAAGATGTTAAATATAAATTTACAGTAGAGATTAAGTGTGAAAGTAACACAATGAAAACAGGGACTAAAGACAATAAAGACTCAGATAACAGGAGAGGATGGAGACACTAAAGTTAAGGCGGCGGTTGGAGGGAAACCCACTGCTGCAGCAGGCAGTCAGCAGCCAGACCGTCCGAATGAACAGCATGAATCATTTGAAATGTTTCAGACTGAGAAGTTGAGGGACTGAAAGGATTCAGGAAGGTTGATCTCACCTGCTGACAGACCACCAACCCCTGAAGAAGAAAAACTGAAGATGACTCATTAACGACGTTTTAGAAGAAAAGGAAACAATGTTGTTTCTAATTCATCATTCATTCATTCTAAGTCAGGGCAACAGTGGCGTTGGATATAGAAGTTTTCCCTGAAAATTGAACGGTTGAAGGTTCAAGTTGACGGATCAAGTCCAGGCTCCGGCTTTCGGTGTCGTTGTGTCTTTGAGCAAAACACTTCACCCTCACTGCCTACTGATGGTGGTCAGAGGGCCTGGTGGCGCC